TTATTGGATGAATATGTGTGTAAAGGCTAATTATTTGAGTATCATACACATACCGTGTTTCCCCGAGAATAAGAGGAAAGTCTTATTTCAGTTTTCTTACTCTTCTTTCGAAAAATAACATCAAGGCTGGCCTATTCTGGGGGAATGGCTTTTATTTACATTTAGCAATAACAAAATTACAAAGTAGAGAATTACGAGATTTTTAAATATACAAAATATAAAAACCGATATTCATTTACTTATAAATAACACGTTTTTATTTGAATTAAAAATTCGCACTATCGACTAGATCTTATTTTAGGGGAGGGCTTATATTAAAACCATTTTTAAAATCAAAACGTACATCCAGTCATCACGCGGACTACTTCTGTGTTCCCATGGATAAATATAATACAGCGAAATTTTGGACGAAATATCAAATTTCATAGAATTCATACAAAATTTAGAAATAAATAAAAATAATAGCCTTCTGGAGAAAAATTCCATCTTCAACCACTGAAAATTTCAAAGCAATTGGTCGAGTAATCGAAGAGAAAAGCGACTTTTTAATAACTATGTCAAAGAACAAGCATAAAAACAACAATAACAACAAGAGAGCTACGCCCAAATATATGGACACGTCTGTTCGCAGTACAATATGGTTTACCCAACGACTAACATATCGTACCGTCAAATCACAGTCTACAAATATATTCACACCAAGCGAAGCAGTACAGTAGGACACAAAATGGCGTACGATGTCCGCAGAACGTTCGGTGACGTCATAGCAAACAAAAACAAATCTCACAGAACTAACAGAAATATTTGAAATAAATAAAAGTAATAGCCTTCTGGAGAAAAATTTCATCTTTGACCACTAAAAATTTCAAAGCAATTGGTCCAGTGATTGAAGAGAAAAGCGCTTTTTTAATATTTCCACTAGGTGTCCAAAAAGTGTCAAAGAAGAACAAGAACAACATTACAACAAAACGATCGTTATGTCCACTAAACGTGTCCAATAAAAATACAAGAGAGCTACGCCTAAATATACATGGACACGTCTGTTCGCAGTACAGTACGGTTTACCGTATCGTCAGATCACAGTCTACAAATATATTCACACCAAGCGAAGCAGTACAGTAGGACACAAAATGGCGATCGATGCACGCAGAACGTTTAATGACGTCATAGCAAACAAAAACAAATCTCACAGAGCTAACAGAAATATTTAAAATAAATAAAAGTAATAGCCTTCTGTAAATGTAATTGTAATTTGCTGAAATTTTGGCTCAATTACACTTTCAATTTGACCAGAGGTCACCAAACTACGGCGTCCTTTCATCTGGCCAGCAATAACACGAAAACGGGCGAAATATTTTCCCAAAGGGCGTTTCCCAAAAATCGGCTTCCTTTTTTATTCGTAACATTAGCCAATCAGCAAAATGCGAAAAAGTGACGTAACAATATGCCTTTTCGCATCCGTTTTAGTAGTTTAAGACACTTAGACAGATTTTCAGTCGTGGTTGTAAACAATACCACATTTTGCGATTTCGAATGCTATTCGTTAGTTTGCAGTTTGACGAAAACCCAATATTGTATTGGAAGAAAAAATCTGAGGAATTTCCCAGGCTTGCTTCTTTAGCCAAGGATTATTTATGACTAACAGCAACATCAGCCCCGTCAGAAATTGTTTTTTCAATTGCGGGTAACTTTTATACGGCAAGAAGAAATTTATTGGGGTCAGAAACGTTTCGCAGCCTAATTTTTATCAAGTGCAATCCAACAGTTTTTGAGCAAGTGAAACTGTAAATATGAACCAGAATGTTATTGGACAGGTTAGTGGACACAATTATCGTGTTGACCAAAACTTTGGGTATTTTGTGTTGTTGTTCTTGTTCTTCGACATAGTTATAGAAAAGTCGCTTTTCTCTTCGATTACTGGACCAAAATTTCAGTGGTTAAAGATGGAATTTTTTTCTAGAAGGCTATTACTTTTTTATTTCTTAATTTCGCATGAAATCTGATATTTCGTCCAAGATTTCGCTGTAATATTTTATCCATGGGAACACTGGCTGTCTGGTTTGATTCTTGCTACGCGTAACTCGAATTTATTTGAGGGTAGCGGTAGCGTCAAGGGTAAGAATTGCTTTGCTCTGTTGTAGTCACTTGTAATGTGTCCATATTTTATTATATTATCCATATTACTTTTAACTGTAATTGTAATTTGATATTTTTTGCACAGAGTAACTGTGATTGTAATTGTAATTGAACTGAATTACTGTAATTGATCCAACTCTGGTCGGAAGACTTAACTTTGGTCACAATATAGAATGAGAATAAAATCAAACAAGAGAGCGATGCTCAAATATATGGACACAAAAGCCAAAACGAGTATGTATACGGGTACGGGTATACATCTGTCCATGGGAAGAGTAAGTCAAGATGTATTCTGTTATATACATATTTTCTGGTATAATCTGACGGTGAAATGAGCCGGCCTCCGATTTACCCGCCTCTGGATTGTGTGTAACAGACCCGTGAGCTATGTTTCATGATTATTATTGTCCTAACTTATGCAGGAACTAGATGGCACTTTGCAGTGTTTCTATTCTCGCAAACATTGCTGGTTTGGGAAACATTTTTTTTAGACCAAATCAACAACCACAGAAATCTGAAATAACAATAGAGAAATCGTAGTGATTTTAAAATGCGGTTGAAAGCCGACCGAAAATTCGAATACCCAGGTTGGAGTTCCCTTTCATGAAATCGTTAAAAAATTTGTCGTAGCATCATTAATGTGTTTGTGTTACGGGTATTCATATGCGTGCGAACACACATACATTTTCATAAAATAGGGTACTCGGCGTATATATATATATATATATTTTCATTATTCATCATAAGCACTTCGCAATGAATGCATTTCGTGCCGACCAAATATTGATCACACTATATATAAATATAAGATATAATATAAGTTAGTACATTTAGTATCCAGCATATACCTCAAATATCGGATATATTCTCCTTCAAAACTACACAATACCAACCAAGGAGTATTAGAATCTATAAAAGGTGCAACAGCAAGTTTCTCATTGGTGCAAATTAAATTTTTTAATATTATCTATGACGCATAGTACTATTTTCTACAATTAAATATATTTACGACCCATTCATAAATTCAGCTTTGCGATCCACGTGGTAATGTATCGTATTTCAATGAGAAGTTCATAACAGCCCAGTTATCGCGCTCTGAAGGTTCCCAAAAAGTTGAAGAATTTTATTTGGCCAACTATACGTTTTCTATTTACTAAGTGTAGGCTACAATATCTGTATCAATGCAAGTGGCCAAAGCTCTCAATTGCATTAATGACCCCGAACCACATATCCGTCTCTATACCATAGGTTACTGTTTATATTCCGGTGTTAACGACTATTTCAGATATCTTGATATCGATCTTGCTGGTTTAAAATATTTACACTTTCTATTTTTCCAATAACATACCAATGCCATATGTAAACATTTTTTATTTTGTTAATAGGTAGCCTGACGTAAATCTCTGTTTTCCGGGATCTAAAAACAATATTATATTAACGTTGATACCATTAATTCTGAAAAAATAAAAACGTAAGTATTTTGAAAGTATTTCGAACTAGAAATAATTGCCACAAAGTTAGATGGATTCATTCTTTTTGAATTATTGATTCGTCAAGCAAAGCAAATGTTAATATGGAGGCATACATACAAATGAATAGACGCTGTTTTTTTGTTAAGTCTGGAGGGAGCGATACGACCAATACGATCATCCAAGTCACCAAATTAATTGTTACTCATAGGATTCACAGTTATTGGATGAATATGTGTGTAAAGGCTAATTATTTGAGTATCATACACATAACATTGTTTCCCCGAGAATAGGACTGGGTCTTATTTCAATTTTCTCTCTTTTCTTTCGAAAAATAACACCAAGGCTGGCTTATTTTTGGGGAATGTCTTTTGTTTTCATTTAGCAATAACAAAATTACAAAGTAGAGAATTACGAGATTTTTAAATATACAAAATATAAAAACCGATATCCATTTACTTATAAATAATACGTTTTTATTTAAAAAAAAATTTGCGCTATCGACTAGATCTTATTTTAGGGGAGGACTTATATTAAAACCATTTTTGAAATTCAGGCTAGGTCTTATTTACGGGGAAACACGGTATTACTTTAAAAATATAAACAAGCACAAATATGAAGAACTAACGATTGAACGTCCGATATGTCGGAAGACCTAACTTTGGTCACAATATAGAATGAGAATAAAATCAAACAAGAGAGCTAACGCGGAAAGGCTCCAAGATGTGCGATTTTTAATTTTGATGGCGTCATCGTACACAAAAAACGAATTCCATACAGCCAACAGAAATTTTTGAAATAAATAAAAGTAATAGCCTTTAAGCGAAAAATACAATCTTAAACCAAATAAACAGGTTTTATTTATTATTGTTGATTTGTGTAGTTTGCGTATTCGTATAGTTCTAGCTGCTGTTGACCAATTTATTTTATCACGCAAAAAAATAATATTTTTGAAAAGCTTATTAATATCTGCTATCGAAAATAAAATCCCAGGACATCAGTTTCCTTTGGTAAATTTCCTTCAAAACATCGCGGAGGTGTTATCTATCCGTATGGGTTTCGACTAATATGTTGAGTCACGACAAAATAGGAAACGCGCGCCTATAAAATGCACATCGTGGTTACACTTTGCCAATCTCGGTAAGATTCACACAATAGCAGAGTAAATTTTTGCGTGAAATGATATGATAGATATTCATGATCATACTCACCAAAAAGTTTATTACGGTGCGTGTACATATTTGGTCAGTGTTGCGATTTATTTTCCTGTCCCTGACAAATTGTTTAGGAAATATTGAATGGGTAAATATTAAATAATTACTTTCTGCACGACAGACTTTTTCATAAACTGTGTACATTTTTTTTTCACATTACCATATTAATATTATATCCATCAACAAAAAATGTATAATTATCGAAGTTCAATCAGGCATAGGTTGCACAAACAGCACGATGAATGTGAAGCTTGTTTTTGTTCTTCTTCTGATTGCAATCATTGCAATTGATTCGGGTGATTCTTGGAGACGGAGACGAAGACGGAGAAGAAGGTATCGTCCTGTTCAAGTGATAAAAAGAGTGGCAACAAGAGTGAAGAGAGTCGCTTATAGAGTCGGACAAAAGGCAGTAGGAGCTGTCAAAAAAATCGTTGGAGAGAAAGTTTGGAAGTTTGGGCAGAAAGTAATAAGTAACTGGAGGTTTGTCTCTATAAAAAAAAATTGTATAACAGATTGGTAATTGTTAAAAATAATTACGAGGTGAAAATTTGATATAAATGACCATATGGATTAAATTGAAGTAAACATTTGAACAAATACCTTGAACATTGGCAGCCCAAAACGTATCTTTAACTTCAATAAACCATATATATATAAATGCATGTAAATGTTCTCAATTTTGATTTACTTCAACAGTCTTTAATTAAAATATTTTCTGCTCAAACACTAAAAAACAGGCGTGCTTTTATTTATCTTTTTATTGTTATTCATCTTTACAGTGACATCAAAAAGTTGATTGACTGCTTCAAAACTGTGAAAAAATTGCTGACGACATTCGGAGTATTGGGAGACAACCCTCTAGAGCAGTTAAAGACTTTGCGTGATACGGTGACTACATGATGATAATAATTTTACATTTTAGAATTATATATATGCCAATATTGGTAGTAAATTGCCATTTATTTTTCAAGATTTCAAAACATAAATGTAGCAACAAAACCATGGCAATAGCTAAAATATTATCAATTTATCTTTAATTGCTTTTTCACATCAAAAAGAAACAAAACACTGAAAAACAAATATTTTTGATTTCGGGCCAACAACCCCACCATTTATTTGCATCAACGATTTTTTATCGCGGGTCATATTGGTCTGTACAAGGTGAGCATATAAGTCACATGTAATAATTTTGTTTTTTAATTCACCGTAAGTTTATTGGACACGTAAACCTGAATGTATTGAGCTAGTCTTTTTGTAATAGGATCCCCACGCATACAATGACATCATGAATGAGGTGGAAAATGTCGTTCAAGAAGAATATGGAGAGGAAGCTGACGAAATGATGCGTGGATTTGATACAGTCATGGAACTAGAAATGGGTACGATTTATTTTAAAGATGTTGTTAATTACTCATATTGTCGAACGCGTTGACTGTATATTATTCCTTTTTGGGTACTCTGGAATTTTACATTTTGCCGGTATATCGAATACAATTCGATCTCTAAAAGTTCATTTGCTGCTATTTTCATAAGAGATATTTTGATAATATTTGCATGGATTTTTTATGCTTGCCAAGTGCGAATAAATGATACAAGAAACTTTGTAATGAAGTGACTATCCATTTTGTAATGTGTGTTTCCTCTGGTTGAAAAGAAACTTAGCCCGATACAGCAGCAGGTCATTCCTAAGCTTAAATTATGTCGCGCGAAACTGCTTAAAAATTGATAATCTTGATTTAGATGACTTGCTCGATCTGTCGAGCGAATTGGATCGAATGGAAAATGATGAAATCCTCGACGACGACAACAGCGTTGATATGTTTTTAGAAAATTAACAGCACATGCATCAACAAAGTGACCGAGTATCGGAACAAAAGAATCACTGTTTTGAATGAAGATTTTTTTTCCACATTTTTTATAGTTTGGAATAAATTCAGAAGCATATAAAAATTGATTCTTATATTCATTAGCCAGCAGTGGCATATGCAATGTCGGGAAGCGAACTGAATACTTGTTGTTTGGAACAAAGGCTGCATAATTAGCATAGTATAAATCATGTTCACATATACACATAAAGTTGGACATTGAACGCAATATCATCACAACGAAAATTATGAAATTGCATAACATTCAAATGCAACTTATCAAGCATTTTGATTACTTTATAAATTAAAATTTGTGTAAATTCAATAAATAATCTGCCAGAAAGAAAAGAAGCCTATAGATAGGTCATACATATTTAATCAGAATTTGCATCAATGGGAAACTTACTGTTGCATCTTTTCCGCAATTGGTATAATCGTTGGTTGCTATTATGCAGTTTTGATCTTTGCATTTGCAGTGATTATATTAAGACTGAGGCGATTTCTGGTAGTCAATTTCATGAAATTAATGCGCGAAAACAAGGATACGCATGCACAGTAAAGATAAACTTTTTCAAAGTTTTATAAATTTTTTCATAGTTTCAAAAGAGTTTAGAAAGGAAACCCCAATCTGAAAAAAATTATTTATTCGATCGGCTTTCAAAGGCTTTAAGTCACTATCTGCTCATTGGTATTTCAGAATTCTGTTGTCAAAAATTCAAATCTATAACCGCATGACATGCTGGAAAAATTTAACTGCAATGTAGCATTTGACTCTTGTATATATCTCACGAAACACGCTGGCACCCTCTATAGTTCATACACCTCCGAATAGGAGTCGCTGTTACAAAACAAGGTGCGAGAAAGAACAGATCATTGGTATAACTGATGATAACAATGTAGAAATCAAAATTCACTGAGCACTTTGGTTTGAGATGAGTCCTTTTAAGTTTGGCAGTCGGATGCTAACGTTGTCCATACCGCATGCCGCATAATATATCTGTCAATCTTGCCACAATGGACAGATATTTGAAATGAAAAAACAAAAAACGCCAAGAGAACCCGTGAACTGGTGGTTGTTTGTTCCTCCATAATCCCTGTCAGATAAGAAAACTTATTTTCATCGAATATGCCCAGGTATCGCATTTAATCTGCCTTTGCTATTTCTAGACACTTGCCGCCTGTTTTTATTCTCATTAGTCTCATTTTGTAGGCTTAGTTTGAAAACTTTTATTTGTACTTCAGCTTTTTGTAACCATGAATTTGAACCCGCACCTTGCGGGTATAAAAATGTTGGATATCTACTTTTTATCGAGTAATATCCTCTGATACATACAACGAAAAGTAAAACTCACTGCATAAGGACTGTGTACAAGTATTGCGACAAACAAATCGTGGGACCTATAGATTTCATAGCGAAAGTCAAGTTCTGTTTACATTTTTTTTATATACATGTTTTCTGGTATATTCTGACACTAAAATGAGCCGGTGAGCCGGCCTCCGATTCACCCGCGTTTGGATTGTGTATAACAGACCCATGAGCTATGTTTCATGATTCCTATTGTTCTAACTTGGCGATAACGGTTATGCAAGAACTAGATGCCACTTCGCAGTATTTCTTTTCCCGCAAACATTGCTGGTTTGGGAAACAAAATTTTATAGATCGAAATTAACAACCACAGAAATCTGAAATTACGATAGAGAAATCGTAGTGACTTTAAAATGCAATTGAAAGCCGATCAAAAATTTGAATACTCGAAGTGGAGTACCCCTTTGAAACTCTTTTATGAAATCGTGAAAAGATTTGCCGTAGCATTATTAATGTTTTTGTTTTACGGGAATTCATATTCGTGCGAACACACATACATTTTCATGAATAGGGTACTAGGCGTATACATATATATATATATATATACAAATTTTTATTATATGTCATAAGCATTTCGCAATAAATGCATTTCGTGCCGAGCAAATATTGATCACACTTTATATAAAATATAATATAGGTTAGTACATTCAGTATCCAGCATAAAGCTCAAATATCGTATATATTTTCCGTCCTGATACAGTGCTGCGTGTGTGGAGCTCAAAACTACACAATACCAACAAAGGTTTATTAAAATCTAGAAAAGATGCAACAGCAAGTTTCTCATTGGTGCAAATTAAATTTTTTAATAATATCTATGACGCATAGTAATCTTTTCCACAATTAAATAGGTTTACGACCCATTCATAAATTCAGCTTTGTGATCCACGTGGTAATGTATGATATTTCAATGAGAAGTTCATAACAGCCCAGTTATCGCGCTCTGGAGGTTCACAAAAAGTTGAAGAATTTTATTTGGCCAACTACGTTTTCTATTTACTAAGCTCTCAATTGCATTAATGACCCCGAACCACATATCCGTCTCTATACCAGGTTACTGTTTATATTCCGGTGTTAACGACTATTTCAGATATATATCTGAAAAGTCGTGCCCTCGCTTCGACACCTTACAATTAATGCCATCTTATTTTATTGATGTTTTCGCCCACAAAAGCGACAATCGATCTTGCTGGTTTAAAATATTTACACTTTCTATTTTTCAAATAACATACCATTACCATATGCAAACATTATTTATTTTGATAATAGGTAGCCTGACGTAAATCTCTGTTTTCCGGGATCTAAGAACAATATTATATTCACGTTGATACGATTAATTCTGAAAAATTAAAAAACGTAAGTATTTTGAAAGTATTTCGAACTGAAATAATTGACACAAAGATAGATCGATTAATTTTTTTCCGATTTATCGATTCGTCAACCAAAACAAATGAACAGACAATGTTTTTTTGGTAAAGATAGGAGGGAGCGATACGACCAATACGGTCATCCAAGTCAGTTCTCCCCAAATTTACTGTTATGCATAGGATTTACAGTTATTGGATAAATACGCGTGTCAAGGCAAATTATTTGAGTTTCATACACATACCGTTGTTTTCCCGAGAATAAGACCGGGTTCTATTTCAATTTTTTATCGCAAAATAACACTAGGGCTTATTTCGGGGGGGGGGGGGGGGGTGTCTAATATTTTTATTTATCAAAAACAAAATTACATAGTAGAGAATTACGAGATTTTCAAATATACAAAATATAAAAACGGATATCCATTTACTTACAAATAACACGTTTTTATTTAAAAAAAAAATCACGTTATCGACTAGGTCTTATCATAGAGGAGGGGTTATCCAACACCATTTTTAAAATTCAGGCTAGGTCTTATTTACGGGCAAACACGGTATTACTTTAAAAAAATAAACAAGCACAAGTATGAAAAACTAATGATTGAAGTTAGTTATCAGGTTTGTCCCCATGGTCAACATTAAATGGACTTTGGAAGAATGCTAGGCTAGGCCGATATGTCGAGACGTAACTTTGGTCACAATATAGAATGAGAATAAAATCAAACAGGAGAGCGATGCTCAAATATATGGACACAAAAGTCAAAACAAAGTAGTACGGGTATGCATCTGTCACAGTAGATTGACCACAAATACCGCAGTATTCACGACTTCGCCCGACCACTAACGCGGAAACGCCACAAGATGCGCAATTTTTAATTTTGATGACGTCATCGCACACAAAAAACGAATCCCATGGACCCAACAGAAATTTTTGAATAAAAAATAAAAGTAATAGCCTTTTAGCGAAAATAACAATCTTAAACCAAATAAACAGGATGTTTTATTCACTATTATTGATTTGTTTAGTTTGTGTATTCTTATAGTTCTAGCTGCTGTTGACCAATTTAAAATATTTTATCATGCAAAAAAATAATATATTTGAAAAGCTTCTTATTATCTGCTATCGAAAATAAAATTTCAGTGCATCAGTTTCCTTCGGTAAATTTCTTTTAAAACGTCGCGAAGGTGTTGTCTATCCGTATGAATTTCGACTAATATTATGAGTCACGACAAAATAGGAAACGCGCGCCGATAAAATCCACACCGTGGTTACCCTTTGTAAATCTTGGTAAGATTCACACAATAGCACAAGTATATTTTTCTACTGATCATGCGCCAGAGATGATATGACAGATATTCATTATCATACAATATTCATCTCAACAAAAATGTATTACGGTCGGGCAAATATAGTTGATCCATTGATTAGTGCGCTTGCGTGGTCGTATTATGAGAGTGTAGATATTTGGTCAGCCTTGCCATTCAATCTTCTGCTCTTAATAAATTGGTTAGTAAATACAGAATGGTTGAACATTGAAAATTTATATTCCACACGACAAAACCCTTCATAAATTGTGTATTTCTATCATATTTTACATTATTTTCTCACCCCACCATAATAATATTATACTCATCAACAATAAAGTAATAATTATCGAAGTTTCATCAGACATAAGTTGCAAAAACAGCGCGATGAATTTGAAGCTTGTTTTTGTTCTGCTTGTGATTGCAATCATTGCAATTAATTCGGGTGATTCTCGGAGAAGGAGACGAAGGAGAAGGCATCGTTTCGGTCGGATGGTTAGAAAAGTGGTATCAAGGGTGAAGTGAGTCGTATATAGGGTCGGGCAAAAGGCAATAAGATCTGTCAAAAAAGTCGTTGGAGAGAAAGTTTGAAAATTTGGGCAGAAAGTGATAAGTAACTGGCGGTTTGTCTCTATAAAACAACTTGTATAACAAACTGATAATTGTTAAAAATAATCGAGAGGTGGAAACTTTGATATAAATGACCATATGGATTAAATTAAAGTAAACATTTATGCAAATACCTTGGAACATTGACAGCCTAAAAATGTATTTTTTAAATTTCAATAAACCATACATAAATGCAGGCGAATGTTCTCAATTTTGAATTATTTCAACAGTCACCAATTAAAATAATTGCTGTTGCTGTATGCTTTTATTTGTCTGTTTGATGATATACATCTTTACAGTGACATCAAAAAGTTAATTGACTGCTTCAAAACTGCGAAAAAACTTGTTGGCGAAGACTCTGCGTGATACGGTGACTACACGATGATAATAATTTTACAATTTAGAAGTATATGGCTATATTGTTAGTGAACCGCCAATTTTTTTTCAAGATTTAAAAACATAAATATGCTAACAAAGCCACGTCAATAGCCAAAATTTTATCAATTCATCTTCAATTTCTTTCCACGCCAAAAAGAGACAAAAACTAAAATAAGATATTTTGGGGCAACAACCCACCAATTTCAACAATGATTTGCTATCACGGGTCATATTTGTTTGTACACGGTTATCGTATAAGTCACATGTATAACTTTCGTGTTTTTAATGGACCGTAAGTTTATTCCAAGTAGACTTGAAGGTATTAAGCTGATCTTATTGTAATAGGATCTCAACGTATACACTGACATCATGAATGAATAAAAAATGTCGCCGAAGAAGAATATGGAGAGGAAGCTGACGAAATGATGAATGGATTTGATACAGTCATGGAACTAGAATTGGGTATACGATCTATTTTAAAGATGTTGTTAATTACTCATATTGTCGAATGCGCTGGCCGTGTGCTCTGGCGTTTTACATTTTGCCGGTATATCGAATACAATTCGATCATTAGAAGTTCATTTGCTGCTATATATAAGGGATATTTTGATACTATTTGCATGAATTTTTTATGCCTGCCAAGTGCGGATTAATCATAGGAGAAACTTTGCAATGAAGTGACTATCCATTTTGTAATGTGCGTTCCCGCTGGCTGAACGAAACTTAGCCCGATACAGCAGCAGGTCATTTCTCAGCCAAAATTATGGCACGCAAAACTGCTTAAAATTGATAATCTTGATTAAGATGACTTGCTTGATCTGTCGGGCAAATTGGATCGAATGGAAATTGATGAAATACTCGACGACGACACTAGCGTTGACATGTTTTTCGAAAACTAACAGCACATACATCAACAAAGTGGTGAGTATCGGAACAAAAGAATCACTGTTTTTGATGAAGATTTTTTCCCTACATTTTTATAGTCTGTAATAAATTCAGAAGCATATAAAAATTGGTTTTTATATTCATTAGCAGGCCGTGGCATATCCAATGTCGGGAAACGATTTGAATGCTTGTTATTTGGAACATAGGTTATACTGAGCATAATTAGCATAGTATAAAATAAATCATGATAACATATACACATAAATTTGGATATAGAACGCAATATCATCACAACGAAAATGATAAAATTACAACATTTAAACATTTAAATGCAACTTATCAAGCATTTTGATTAATTTATAAATTAAAATTTATGTAAATTCAATTAATAATCTGCCGGACAGAAAAGAAGCCTATAGGTCATATATATTTAATCATAATTTGCATCAATGAGAAACTTACTGTTGCATCCCTTCCGCAATTGGTATATTTGTTGGTTGCGATTATGCAATTTTGAGCCAAGTTTACACTCGGGTATTGCATTAACATTCTGGTTTCACGCGACGTGAATTTATTAGGTCCACTTGTGTTGGGGTTGCGTTTAGCATGCCCGTGGACTATGTTTCGTGAGTGTTTTACTTAGTTTACTCAAGTATGTCTCTGATAATTCAAATAAATATTGCTGTTGAAGAACTTTTCTGCCTCTAGTACTAACCGTGGGAGGGGGAGACTAAGTAAATTTGTTTTTTACATTTTGGAAAATTTTGTTCCGACAGTGTGCGCGCAGCTGCTAAAACTCACTATTTTGCCGTAGTTTCACGGTGGTGCAGGGAGTATGTTAATGAAAAATACATAAAACTGTTTTTCTATTATTCTTACTATTATTATTATTCTAAATTAATTAAAAATCCACAGAAATCTGAAATCACAATAGAGAAATCGTAGTGTCTGCGATTGAAAGTCGATCGAATACTCAGAGTGGAGATCCCTTTGAAACTATTTTTATAAAATCGTGAAAAATTTTTTCGTAGCATTATTAATGATTTGCGGGAATTCATATACGTGCAAACAAAGATATAATTTCATAAAAAAAGGTACTAGGTGTATATATTCTTCGTCCTGATACAGTGCTACATGTGTAAAGCTCAAAACTACACAATACCCACCGAGGTTCATTAAACTTGAGGAAAGGCAATTTTCTCATTTATGCAAACTTCATTAAATATCTATGACCTACCATATTCTTTACCACAATAAAATTATAATTATGCCCCATTCACCAAATAAGCTTCGCCATCCCGGTGGTAGTGTATGTTATTTCAATAAGAAGGTCATAACAGCCATCGCGCCCTGGAGGTTCACAAAAGGTTGAAAAATTTTATTTTGGCCAACTACGTTTTCTATTTACTAAGCGTAGGCTACCACTATATCTGTATAAAATAACAGTGGCCAGAGCTCTCAATTGCATCAATAACTCCGAACCATATATATACCACGTCTCTATACTAGGTTACTGTTTATAGTCCGATGTTAACGACTATTCCAGGTATCAGAAAAGTCGTTACCCCACGTCTCTATACTAAGTTACTGTTTATATTCCGGTGTTAACGAGTATTCCAGGTATCAGAAAAGTCGTGCCCCCACGTCTCTATATCAAGTTACTGTTTATATTCCGGTGTTAATGACTATTCCAGATATCAGAAAAGCCGTGTTCCGCGTCTCTATACTTGTTTACTGCATTATAGTCCGGGGCTAACAACTATTCCGTGCAGGTATCAGAAAAGTCGTGTCCCCACGTCCCTATACTAGGTTACTGTTTATATTTCAGTGTTAACGACTATTTCAGATATCTGAAAAATCGTGCCCTCATGTCGACACCTTACAATTAATGTCATCATGAAGTAAATATCGATCCTGCTGGTTTCAAATATTTACCCTTTCTATTTTTAAGTACCATACCATTGCTATTCATAACATATTCTATTTCGTAAATTGGTAGGCTCAACTGTAATCGCTGTTTTCTGGGATCTAAAAAATATTATGTCCACGTTAATACCATTGCTCCTAAAAAACACAAGAATTCAAAATAGTATTTTAAAAGTGTTTCAATTTTTCACTTCCCCGCAGTAAACCAATTGCATAATATTGCTCACAGCGGTGACGTATATATACTAGAAATAAAAGCCATAAAGCGAGGCTTGAGAAACCGATATGTTGGGATACCTAACTCTGGTCACAATGCAGAATGAGAATATAATGATACAAGAGAGCGATGCTCAAATATGTGGACACGAAGACCAAAACAAAGTTGTACTGGTATGCAATCTGTCACAGTGGACTGACTACCCAGCCACAGTCTTCACGACTTCGCCTGACCGCGAACGCAGAACCGCCACAAGGTGCGGTCCAGTTTTGATGACGTCATCGCACACCAAAAACGAATAACATAGAGAGCAAAAATAAATAAAAGTAATGGCCTTCTAGCGAAAAATACAGTCTAAAACCTCATAAATAGGTTGCTTTATTTACTATTGTTGATTTATGTAATTTGCATATTCTTATTGTTCTAGTACTAGTTGATCAATTTAAACTATTTTATCACGCAAAAAAATATTTTTTTTAAAATCTTCTCATATTGTTGACTTATTATGTATATATATATCATATTATTTGCTACCGGGAAATAAAATTCCAGTTCATCAGTTTCCTTAGATAAATTTCCTGGAACGTCGGGAAGCTGTTATCTATCCGTATGAATTTTGGCTAATAATACACACCGTGGTAACTCTTTGTCAATCTTGGTAAGATTCACATAATATTAAAGTATATTTTTCTACTGGTCATGCGCCTGGGATGATATGACAGATATTCATTATCATATAATATTCTTCTCATCAAGATTTTTTTACGGTCGGGCCAAAATTCATTTTATAGTTCAATGTGATGATACATTGATTAGTGCGCTGGCTTGGTTGTATTATGTGCGTGTATTGATTGGTCTGTCTTGCTATTTAATCTCCTGCCCCTAATAAATTGATTAGGAAATATTGAATGTTTTTTTTCTTTCTTTATGTCAATACCAACTCAATTCAAAACTGCGGTTGAAGAAATGTTAGCTCTTTGTTTAGAAGCCACGCAACCTTCCCACTCTCGGAATATAGCCAATTATGAAGTAATGAAAAACATTAAAATAGGTAGGGCGGTAAAATAACACCATAATATGCCAAACCACGACTTCCCAGAATGAGAGGATTGAATAAAATTTTAATATTTCTATACAACTGCAGCAACATTTTCAGGAAAGTGGATGGTGCTAGATATACAAGATAGTTTCCTATTTTTTGTTATATCCACAAACAACTAGAAATGAGTTAATGTATGTGGTGGGGAAAACAGCGAATGCGGCAAAACATTCACAATTTCTCTGAATAATATAATATTTAAATATAGTGAATGAAATGCTATAACATTGCGAGGGTGTTCATATAACGGATATCGTTTCTTGACTAATATATTTAAAGACAAACAAAAACAGGAAATAAGGGCTTATAAAAAGGATAACCGTAGTCTATACACGACAGTCTAGGTTTGTTCATTCGATCGACCTCGGTGATTTCTACACTTTTTTGCGCACAAGTAAGCTGCCGAGAGCAAACAAAACAACACGTGCAAGATATCTTAGTCATTGCTTCCAAATTAATTCTTCAAATCATTTGAGTACATCTGCAACTATATATTGTTTGGCAGTGTTAATAATTTAAAAATCTAAAACTTCACTATGAAAACCCACGCATGATTATGTTACCTTGACTAAAATAAAATTTTAACATTTGTAATTCATATATTATCGTAAATAAATTAATATCTATAATATTTGACAACAGATTCGTTGGTACAGAATGCATATCAAACTCGTTTTAATTTTTGCGTTGATCGCAATCCTTGCGATAAACTGCGGAGATTCCCTTAGATTCAGGCGATTTCGTCTTCGACGAATCGTTAGGAAGGTTGGAAGATTTACAAGAAAAATTGGAAGAGGGTTAATACGAGGCATTAAAAGAGTTGGTAAAATTGGAAGCAAGATCTGGAAGTTTGGGAAAAAAGTGATATCAAACTGGAGGTGTGTTTATTTATCTATTAATACAAGTAGTTACTTTTTTATTTGTAAAGTAAATTAGTTATTAAAGTATAGAGACAAACTTGTATTGTATACAATCCGCCAATAAACCCATTCCATCCGCCTTATATTATTGAAATATCAAGCCATTCCGATGCCTAATAAACAGCATATACAAATAAATATAAAATGGATGTTTATATATTATTTAAATAGCCTAATTGCGAAATAATAAATCACTACATTACTAATTGATTAGAGAATCAAAAAAATATCGAGCGACTGTTTCGCTGATCATGTATTAATAATATATTACATTCTATATTTTATCAGCGAAGTAAAAAAATTGATCAGTTGCTTCAAAACTGTAAAACGTCTGTTGTCTACCTTTGGAATATTGGGCGATAATCCCGTGCAACAGATGAAAATTTTGCGTGACGAGGTAACATTACGATCATTTTAACTCAATTATAAGTTTTATGTGCCTTCGGCAATATTTCGTGTAGAAAATAACACTGCAGAGAAAAAGGAATCCCGAGTTGACGGTGTACCCATAGTTTTATTGACACAACCGAGTTTCAAATATACGAAACTTGGAAACATTTTTTTATGAAACATCACTCATAAATTTAAATATGCATTTCCTAATGTTATATCGCACGCTAATAATTCTTAGTCATATTCATTGTCAATATTGACTCCATCATATTTTTGTAATAGAATCCTCAAGCATACAGTGACATCATGACTGAAATAGAAAAAGTTGTCCAAGAAGAATATGGAGAGGAAACTGACGAAATGATGAAAGGGTTTGACACAGTCATGGAACTAGATATGAGTAAAGTTTTAAAGGATATTCCAAGTTACTCATATATATTCATTTTTTAGTGCTGCTATGGAAAAAGGGTGGTGCATATGCAAAACAGCAGCAAAATTAAAATGAGATAACTGGCTAGATGCAACATGCGACCACAAGCCAGAAGAATAAAATTGAAATGCATAAATATGATGAGCAGGCTAACTATCGAAACTGAACACCCGAACCCAAATATTCTTCATAAATCTATAAATGCTGGAATAGCCCAATAAATTTATTATTATTTATATTCCCTACGGAACTACTTATTGCGTTCTGTAATATTTCTAAAGCAAGTTTTGTTTGTAGAACAAACTTAAGCCTGAAGTTAATTAATAAGATACCAGGCTCGACACTTTGATAAGAATAATAACAGCCTCTATACATACCATTTTATGGGCGTAGTCACATCGACATAAATACACGATAGAATATTATGCGTAGCCATAAATCCGAAATATAATTAGGCAAAACAATTATAGAAATTACATGCTTTCTTTAATTTGTGGCGCCCAAGATCAGTCTTTAAACATAGGTACTTCAACATGTTGTCATCTTGTATTACAGACGACTTACTCGATCTATCGGACGATCTGGACCAAATGGGAAATGATGAAATTCTCGATGACGAAGACAACGTTGCCATGTTTTTCGAAAATTGATTGGACACGTGAATGAATATATATATATATATATGTCATATATATATATAAATATAAACATGAGCTGACACTCTTGATCCTTTTTAGTGAAATTATATATACAGTATTGAATATTTCAATAAATTCACTTGCTTTATTCTTTGTTTAGTAGAATGCGCATGCCAACACTGTCTTTCTGGGTGAAAGCTTGCATAGTCTAATGCCGAAATTCTTAATTTGGCATTCTGACACCAATTAGAAAGCTTTGTAGAATAATTTACCATAGGGAAAATCGACCACATTCATATAGGGCAGGGATGGCGAACCTTTTTCAATGAATGGGTCAAAAATTATAATTTTATCGCAGAACAGAAGAGAGTGGGTCACAGATATTTAATTCACGTTTGTATCTTTAAGAAACAAATCTTATAAGCTGGTGTTGGTGTAGTTTTGGGCTTTACTTATGCAGCACTTCTATCAGGGACTTTTTATGGCACTCGGTTTTATGATATTAGAGTACGAAAAAAACGCATATGAATTACCAAAAACGTTTAGGATGATGCGTTAAATTATTTTACGGTTCTACGGAACAGAAGAGAGTGGGTCCCAGATATTTAATTCACGTTTGTATCTTTAAGAAACAAATCTTATAAGCTGGTATTGGTGTAGTTTTGGGTTTTACTTATGCAGCACTTCTATCAGGGACTTTTTATGGCACTCGGTTTTATGATATTAGAGTACGAAAAAAACGCATATGAATTATCAAAAACGTTTAGGATGATGCGTTAAATTATTTTACGGTTCTAGTGTTTGGAGGTAATTCTGCTTTGATAGTGTTAAAATTTTGGATCAGCTTCCAATCATATTAAGGCACTTTTACACTGCCCCATTGTTATATCAGATTACTAGATTTTTATTTCAAGTCTGAAAGATTTTGTTTTCTCAGCGGCATTGTAGGCGAGAAACTAATAAATGCAAAGTAGCATCTAGTTCTTGTATAACCCCTAAAACAGTCTGCAGATGCACTTCCGAAAGAGACAGGCGTTTGCGAGAAATGAACAGATCAATTGTAATGTTATGTCATAAACGATGTCAGGCCCAATAGCTGAATAACGGTATACAACAGTGCATACATGCGTCCAAGATTAGGGGTTTTGAAAATTACCATACCGGCCCGAAAATCAACATTTTGAATTTGAGCTATCGCAGCCCTGATTGTCCAACTGACGGTACATTTAATAGTTTAGTTGTTGTTAAATTAATTTAAGGCCGGTTTTATCAATTTTTATCACTGATATGTTAGTTTTATTCGTGCCTTCGCTTGGCGGGTCACAAATAAAAGGCGGTGGGTCACTTTGTGACCCGCGGGTCAGTGCTTCGCCATCCCTGATATAGGACCTTCTGGGGCATGTTGAAGATAAATAATCATACTTCGAATCCTCATTTTTATGTCGACCAACGAAACATCGAGAAACAATGGAGTATTCAATAAAGGTCCAAGCTAATTGCGCATTACATTCCGGCTTTTCGGAGTACTTTTTGACAATTAATTCGCATTTGTTAAACCCGACGCGAAGTGTTGAATGTGTTTTATATTTCCGTATTTCATAGATTTTGTCAATAGGGTGTCGTGATCAAAAGGGTTGAATAACACTGAAGGAGAGAGAGAGAGAATTTATTGCTTTCGTCAAACCAGAAAACCAATCGTAAACGTCTGGTACCACTCAGTACAAATTACTTAAATAAATACTTCACGGGGGAAGGGGATTCGTTTTCCAGCCTGGCGTGATAATGCTTGGTAGCATTTCACAATTAAGATAATAAATGTATTAGATAATCCAGAAATAAGTTCATCATGCATAACAAATTGTGCCTAGCTCGCATCACAGCGCCATTGCGCGGTGGCCGGGTTAGATACTAAATATGAGCTTAATATTCATACTTTCATGCGGTCGTGTGATGGCGTAAATTTGCCGAAACGAAGGCCATTTCCAATTACACTAGATTTCTAACCGAACCGAAGCCGTGCATTAACTTTTCGTTGAAGCATAAAAAAACTGTTATCCACGGTGCTCACTGCCCATATTATAGTCTTATACTTCTACAAAATTTCGAATCAAATATATATATATATATATATATATATATATATACTTCAATTATGCGACAACACACGATGTACAAGCGTTATGTCGATTTCTATGGTTATCATCATTTGCATGGTAATCATCCTCTTGGGGTGCATTATAATTAAAGATACATGATAACACACTGAATTTCATTATTCAACATATTAGAAAGATCAAACATACAATACTATATAAAAATGAAATATTTCACTGCTCCAAGAAAGTACGCAAAAATTTTATTCCAAAATTGTACCACAGTGTTTTGTATTTCCCCACTGCTTTTTCATCTTATGCTCTTTTGTCTGAATGTAAAATTAAATCCGATTGAAATATTGAAAAGGTGTCAAAAGTTAGTTCAAAGATGTCGATTGAGTAAAAACCGAATAAAGTCTAGATCTAGAATATGATTTGATACGTGTTTCAAACCCGATTTAATGTCACATTCGATTTTTAACAGAAATTTCTACCGTTAAAAATTGAATGCTTTTAAATAAAAAAAAATTCTATAAGATTCTCACGAATTTCGGGTCCTGATTAGTTATTTGGGCGCTGTTTGCTTTTTACTTTCAACGAGAAGTCGCGGTTTTGCCACGAGTACATCATTCCATAAACGCAATGCAATGGAGCGAAACAAAGAGTGTCATGTCATCGTAACCAAGTTACAGCATTTTTATAGAATCATAAACTAAAATAAATTTGGCAGTTTTGTAGTCATATATTGTTGCATACAATTTTGATGATTCAACGTGGTATATGATTTTAGAAAAATATGGTAACTTATAGTCGCCTTAGTGGTTATGTACTGCAGAAAACAACAATACTTGACGTTAGCTACTGCTACTAAAATGCAAAATTATCTTTGCAACAGCAAATCTAAAATTACCTTCCGTACTAACGCTAACGTCTGAGATTTCAGGGATAATTTCATTTTCGATTGCCTCATCAAAATATTGTTGCGAATCTTCATCTTTCTGTAATACATTGGAATCATAAACATTAATAACGTTGGGACGTACACTTATTAAACTGTTTATACATAATAATTAAAAAAACGTGATTGTCTTCCAAACTTCTATATAATTTAAACTTGTCACCTGATCATCCAATGTTTGTAATCTGCGTCCCTCTTCATCACCTGCAAACATGGCTGCCGTCATCCCCGCTTTTACGAGTTCACTGAATTAAAAGATATCAATCAGTATATACCTGAAATATTTGTTCTAATGTTTATGCTAGTCGCAAAAAGGTCAATCCATTTAAAATTTAGTTCGCTTTTCCTTTATTGATACCTTATCGTAGTAAATGTGTGTAATATAAATATACTCACGGGTGGTCTTCCAAATACTTGGTAGTTTTACCCACCACATCGGACACTGCACTTTTTACGCTATCTATCAGAAATGCTTCGCTCGCTTGATGACAGAAAATACAAACCATCGACACACCGACGAATATTGAACATTTCCCGAGTTTCATGACAATCGTCTTGTTACCTGGATATTGCAACTATAACACAGTGTATGAATAAAAAACCTAAATGTTGAAGCCTTCTTGAAACATATGGGGCTAATTCTTATCGATCATAAGGATGAATCATAATCATAGTCAGTTAGGCCCGACTCCTTGAAACCCTCTCATTGTGTTGCAATGCGTATGTTTCAAGGAAATATAGATACTTCCTAACACGTCCAGAAATAATGTTTGTAATTGTTTCTTGGGGAACAAACATATTGTTGCTTGTCTTACAAATATGTATCTTCAAAATATGCAAAGATTATGGCTTGTAGGAGCCATTATTATAAATGAACCCGCAGATTGTGATCTGAATAATAAAACATATGCGCTACGTATAGTCTAACCTTAAAAGTTGCCCCCTTGTGATTTCATTGGTAAACAATCATAATGTGAAATCTCAAATTAGTGCTATCTTTTTAGCATATTTCAAGCACTAAACCGTCCAATCCCACTATCGAGATTATTAGCCACACTGCAGGAATTGTTTCATTAAAATTCTCATTCATTCCTAAAAATACGGTACATAATCAACATTATTTTTAAAAATCACTTGGCCTTTCAATCGATATGTAGCACAAAAAAATTCTTCCACATAATTGCGGACTGATAAGTATAAAATACTAGCGTTATTCGGTTTTCTGTATAAGGAGATTATTCTTGGATATTAATATGCGTTTGATAGGTTGATGAAGTCAATTTTATTTCACATGTCCAACAAATCGTTCTTCTCCGAGAGTTTGAAAAATTAATTTTTGCACTCATGGGGCCTGATTAGATGAATTCTTATAGAATTTTTTTTGGAAGCCAGGCGTCTCATACAATCACTGAAATGATATTCAAGCATTATCTGGAGCGCAAGCAAAACGGTGAGTTTAACTGCCTACGCTGAAGTATGGAATCATATTTTTTTATAAAGCCGCTTCCAATTTTAGATGATAGAATTAGTCGCCGTATTATCATGAAATTTTGAATTTGAAGCGCTCGTCGGAAGTCACACACGCTGCTCTAATCATGCTTCAAATTTCGAACCAGCTGAGAAGCTCATTTCCTGCTATAGCTTACGCCATTGCAGTATGTGCATGTATATCGCTATTGTGAATAGTGATTGTTCCAAAGAGAGAAAGCGATAAAAATAATAATGGGTTGAGAGCTTGCAGTGTCATGAACAGTTTTGTCTTCTTAAAGCGCTAGAGGCCCTTCTTTTATTATTTACCTAATATTATATTCATATTTATTAAAGACGTAGATTGTACTTTTTGCAATTTTTATAACCATGGATAGGGCAGAAATTTCACCTGAACTGAATTGGATGATAAACCAAATGGCCGAAGACATCGTTCGCGAAGTATGCGTGAAGTGCACCTGTCCACATGGTGAATCAACTATTTCTGAGAATGAAGGCATTAAAAGCTCAGATTCTGTATCTAATGAAACGACCCACAAAGCAACGTTCGGTTTTCATCAGACTAAATCATCAGAATTGTCAGAAAACGGGCGATGCAAACACTAATTC